AAGGAGCAAGAGAGAATCTGAATAGGTAGAAGGGAGGAGTGGGTATTGGAGGTGTATGCAAAGCTGAAGGTGTCCAAGTAACACTCCTACCCAAAGAAGGCAGGAGGAGTAGGACAGCAAGATTGGGAGAAAGAAGGCTTGTGCTTGAGAATCAGTAAATCAGGCACAGCCAATCTCCTTGGAATGAAATATTTCATCTTTGTGACAATGGCAGTGCCACCGAAGGATTTTAATAAAAAACTGTGCTTACAGATGATTTATCTGACTGTTACATGTAGGAGGAAGTGGCAGTAATTGGAAAAAAATCAGATCAACTAAAAGCCTCTGGGAATGTTTTTTATATGAGTCCCAAAGCAGGTTGGTAGCAGCAAACTTGAAATAAAATACAGAAGAGACACTGGCAATTAAAGAGGTATCCATATGAAGAGGGTGAGTCAGAGAGCCTAACAGTCACTGAGTTTCACAAAGGTTTTATATTCCTGACGAGCATGCTGCTTAAAGGTTCAACAGTAAAATCAGAGATCCATGTAGTGAGTAAGTTGGCACTTACCTAACATAAAAGCACTGACCCATTTCCCTTAAATGTTAGCAGATTTTATATACAAACATCTTTAAGCTGTACCAACATACGTGTTCCATGCTTTTTCACACATGAGCGTATTTGTAACTACCAAAGGATAGAGAATAGAGAGATTGACAGAGCCTTTACCTGGCACTAGGTCCTTGGACAATTGCTGGGAATGGGGATCCATAGAAAAAAAGACAATTTGCGTTTGAGGGGCTCGCAAACTACAGCCTTCCTACAAAGCCAGCCACAGCTTAATGACGGCCTGCAGGCTGCTGACTTCCCACTCGGGTCTCCCCTCCAGAGGGTCCTCCCGTCTCCAGCCCTGTCCATGCATCTGTCTATGAGACTTCCTCACCTGGATGTTCATGGACTTCTCCAACTCAGTGTTTACGACACTGACCACATTCATCATCTTTCCTTGGCACCTGCTTCTCTTCATGCAAGGTTCCTGTCTCAGAGAATGGCAGCAGGTGGGAATCCTCCCACTGCCTCACTCTCCACACTGTCTAACCTCAAGTTCTATTCATTCTACTTCCAGGATATCTCTCTTATCCGGTCACCTCTCACCATCCCCATGATCAGCTCTCTCGTGCAGGCTCCCACCATCTGGTGCTTACCAAAGCTTTCTAAGTGGCCTACTGGCATCCCAGCATGCTACCCTCCCATCCTTTGCCCACACGGCAGCCAGTGTGACCTTTCTAAAATGAATATATGACTGAGTCGCTTCTCTGCTTAAAACCTTTTAATAGTTTCCTGTTGCTGTTAGAATAAAGTGCAAATCCTTTAATATCCATTGCAAAGCCCTTTATAGCCTGGATCCTGCCCATCTCCCCATCCCCACTTGGCTCCTCTCTCCTCGCTAAGCACCAGCCACACAAAATTCTTTCAGTTTCCCTAATGATCCATGCTCTATCTTCCTGGCCCCCACACATTCTATTCTTCCTGCCAGAAACACTTTCTCCCCATCCTGCAAATTCCTATGCCAAGGAATGTTTACCCTGAGCTGAAAAGACAGACTTGTGTTGATAATGATCATTATTCCATGTTGCATATGTACAACTCTATATTTTTTAAAGAGTTTTTACTATCCTATCCCTATAACTACAATGACCAGATTTTTCAAACTAAAATTCTAAAGAATAAGACTGAATTTTGGACAACAGGACTATCTTGGAATACCTTGGCCTTATATAACTCCCATTTTATAGCAGTGGACATTTAGAACCCTGGCCTTCCCTCACTGGGGACAAGGGATTGCAGTGTGATTCCAAAAGGACAGAGGACAGCAGTTGCCGTAGACACATATCATGTAATGGGCTTGACATTTAGTCCAGAGTGTTGGAGTAGGATGGTCTGCTCAAGAATAATTGTGGAATTTTTTTATGCCTGCTCAAAGAAGAGGTGCCAAAAACAAAACAAAACACACACACACACACACACGCTCACACATACCTTTACATACCTAATCTTTGAGGTGCCCAGAAGCAGCTCCCTCTCTTGAAGGAAGAAGGAGCAGAGAGCCTTCTACTTGCCTTAACCTGCCCTAGGACATAGCCTTATTGTCCAAGAACAGAGTGCAATCAGGCCCTTTTTTGGGGTTAAATAGTAAACAAACACACCCCATAAGGAGGAATAGAAGTGGTTCTGGATTCAGAATGAGTAGACATGTATACCTGGACCAATTTGAACCCAGAACTCCTGGGGCAAGTGGGCCGGGTTGTGGTGGGATTTGAGCACGAAGAGAGGTGTCCTAGGAACCCGAGTGACAGACATCCTTGGTGGAACTTACCACAAAGGCAAGGAAATAATCTTCCCTCAAAGATTCCTAGAGGGCGTCATGTTAAGTAAAATATGTCAGAGAAAGACAAATACTGTATGATCTCACTTACATTTGGAATCTAAAAAAAAAACAAAACCCTAAAAATCTCAACGTCATCAAAACAGGGATTGGATTGGTAGCTGCTAGGCTACAATACACAAGGCAGAAGGTGGGGAGTGGGGATATGGGGTGAAGGTGGTCAAAGGTATAAACTTCCAGTTATAAAATAAATAAATCTGGGCTGTCACATATAGCATGGTGATGACAGTTAACAATACTGTATTGCATATTTGAAAGTCACCAAGAGAGTAGATCTTGAAGGTTCTCATCATGAGAAAAAAACTGTGATTCTGCCAGGTGATGGATATTAACTAAACTTACTGTGGTGACCATTGTACGATATATACATACATCAAATTAGTATGTGACACAGCTGCAACTGATACAATTATACCTCAATAAAACTGAAAAGACAAGAAGACCCCCCGAGGACTTGTGAGTGGACAGGATTGAGTGGCCCGGCATCAGCTGCTGGAATATGCTAGTTCTCAACAGACGTATGCTGTGGCTTGAGGGCCAGTGGAGCAGCAACAATGGGCTGACAGCCCTACTCTGTTTTCCTGAGCCCTAATTTTACATCTATTTCTAGACTCTTCTGGTAATTATGGGAAAAAAAAATCATGGTTCGCTATTCTCAAACCTCTTACAGGTTTACTCAAGATCATACAATGAATACCAGGTAGAGGTAGAAACAACAAAGGTGAGTCAGTAAAGATGGGTGGTACATTGTGCTGTCAAAAACACAGAAAAACAGGCCAGAAGGGAAGGACCCATAGCAGTCAAGGACTGTTCCCTACAATATTTTGACGGTCTCTGGTTCTGCCTGGAGCTACTGGAAGTTACGCCACATCCCATCAAGTCTGCATAAAGCCGCAGTGAGGAAAAGTGGTTTCTGGACAGAGGAACGTGATGGAAAATGAGAGCAATGGGACCAGACCTCATTATCTTAGTGCTTTTGATAACACTGGAGAGCGGAGTTAGGTTTTGAATTGACTGAAATCTTCCATAAATGGAATCTGAATGCAGGCTACATTAACATCCAGAAACTCCCCCAGGGAATTTCCTATTATGTACATGGAAGGGGGAATGAAGCAAGTCCCATCTGGCTAGGCAGAGAACATTCTCTGCTTAAGGAAACTTCATGGTTTTTGCGTTTAGTGCCAACTGCATGTTCATACTAGACCCAGGCCCTGCACACAGAGGTCTAAGTGTACTGAAGAATGAGCTAGATGGAACAGGCAATGCTGGGCAATTCTTTGTCTCTAGAACATCCAAACCACAAGGCAAGATATTAATAAGAGTATCGCTTTTATAAAGTCCCTAACTTGTTATGAGCCAATATTATGACGCACGTTACTCAGAGTTGCTATAGCAAAATACAGTGACATATTTTCTCATTAGCTTCCTATCAATACACAAGCTAAAATCAAGAACAGACCAACACACATCACTTAGTGACTCCCGCTCTTTGGGAGTGACATTCTCAGAACTTTAAAGGTACAATGACATTAGCCTTATTAGGAAAAAAAAGGCACTGATGGGGAAGGTGACTCACCTCACACGTCACCTGCTCAAAGAGGCCTCCTCTGACAAGCCTAAAGTACTGAACTCCCATTCTTCACCATGTACTCACCTCTAGTTACCCCTCGACACATTAATTTTGAGAACTATCAAGTTATCTTGTGTTGTCCCTCGTCTCTGAATACAGACCCCGAGACAGGGACTTTGCATGGTTCATTACTCTGTTCCTAATACCTACCGAGGCTGGCACAGAGTAATCCCTCAATGATACCTGACTAACGACTGCCTTTCCAGCTGCCAAAGAACAAAAAGAGCTTAATCATCTGTAACTGAAGACTCCGTGGATTCCAGAAAAACCAGCATTCACATCAATTCATCAATGAGTTGCGTTTCATTGCAATATTGCAATGAAAAGTCTTTTCCGTTATAGACCTGATGGTAATTAAGTCCGTACCTAGAGGCAAAGCGAAGCAACATCACTCCAGGTGTGGCCCGGGACCAGCAGTATCTGCATCGCCAGGCAGCTTGTCAGAAAATCCGGGCTCCACCAGAGAGCCAGCGAATTAGAATATCTGAGCTTGGAGCCACTAAAAAATCTGTGTTCAAGAAGTTCGCCCTGTGATTGTAGGTACCATAAAATTTTGCACAAGTTATTCGGCAATAAAGGTGAGGGGAAAAAAAGAAACGTTGTAAGGACTAAAATCACCAGGGACAGCTCGGACATTCTTGGTGTCATTTCAATAAGAAACCTCAAAAGAAAGGAAGAGGGTGAATGATACACAAAATTATATGCATGCGTTTGGCTCACACGTGCCACGGGAGAAGGCCCCGCACTCCGTTTCGCGGAGGCTTCCCAGACCTAGCCAAACAACCGGCGGCAGCGTGACCGCGCTGGGGCGGACCAACTCCTGCGTCACGTGACTTCCCCTCTTTCCGGGGGGCGGCACGCTCCAGGAACCGTTCTTCCGGCGACTGACCAGGGCCCCTGAGCCAAAGCAGCCTCGCGGGGCGTGTGAGGGCGCCGTGTCCTACCGTGATTTAGGTGTCTGATGCAGTCACTCAGGAGAGCGCCGAACTTCTTCTGGTCCGCGGCGTCGTGGAAGCAGAAGTAGCCGTGTCTGACGAACGGCTGCCACAGGTACACCGGGAATTCCTTGGGCAAGACCACGAAGGGCTGAGCGTTCTCCTTCTCGCTGGAGGCTAACGGAATGTGGAAAACACGAAGACATTTTAAAACGTGCATCTTTTATTTAAAATACTTATTTCGGGCCGTGAAGGCAGCTCTTTGGGGCGGGCCATGGGACAGAAAGGTGACATGAGATGTCTTCCCAGGATGGCAGGAAATGGCAGTTCAGGCTCCTCTCACTCCCTCCACAGGTAACTGTCTCACTCCAGCAGGTGGCTTCGCCCCCTCCCTGACAGGGACAGCCAAGGCCACCAGACATCGTCTTTCTCAACTTCCTCCTATCAAGGGTCCGCAGAGTCTGGGTGGCCCCGCTGGCCCTCTTGAGGCTCACAGGTCTGCCTGCGCAGCCACTCACCCTCCCGTCCCCACAGGCGCCCATTCCACCAGGCTGCTCTCTCTCTCTCTGCCCTGTGCTCCCTGGCTCCTCCCTGTCGCTGCCAACCCAGCACTTGCTTCTTCCTGCCTCAGTCTGCTTCCTGCCCCACCAGCCCCAAAACCCCATGGCTGAGGTCACTGATATCCTAACTGCCAGCCTGTGGCTTCTTCTTCATTACCTAAGCCTTTTTTTCCCTCATTATCGAAAACCTTTAACCTGGTCTGAAGTGTCTGTTGCTGCTGTTTACCCCTTCTTTTGAAAACGTTCTCTCCCCTTGACTTGCAGGATCACCTCTCTCCTGATGTCCTTTGTGCTTTTTGAAAATTGTTTCTTCATGGTCAGCTTTATTGGTTCCTCTGCCCCTTTTCTCCATCCCCCTGCGAAGTGTTGGTGTTTTTGCCCTGTTCTGTACCATTTTGACTAGTCTCTGCTCTCCTTTGGCATGGTCCTCCATTCCATAATATGGAATGTTGTTTCTGCAGGTCCTATTACCTTTTCCTCTATCCTTTACACCATGCTTTCTCCTAGAAGGTTCTCATTCATCCTTTAAAAGTCAGTTCAAAAGCTGCTCCTCTGGGGCGTCTCTGTTGGCACCTCCCCGTGCCCCTAGAGAAAGGGTTGGGTGCTCCCTACCTTGTTCTCCCTAAATATTGTAGAGATCTGTTTTCATGTCTGACAGGCAGGGTGGACGGCACAGAGTGAGATGAGCTCCCCCACTGGTTCTCACACAGTTCCTTTCCCCAGGAAGCAGTACCAGTGCCCTGGAGCTCTAAGAGGATGGAAACCGCACCTTACATATCTTTGTATGCTCAGCCCTTAGCACAGCTGTGGAACCGAGGAGATATTCAACTACAGTTTGTTGAGTAAGCGTGCTGTGTTGTCCTAGGAAATCTTAAAAACTTTTAAACGATGAACGTTTACCACTTACCTCAAAATCAATTCGAAGAAACTCATGTTCAACCATGCTACTATTCAGATCCCTACCTAAATTTTATTCCCTTCCACGCATTCCTGTTATATGATCTTATGCTTGGCTAAATGGCCCCCAGCTTATTAGCTTGTGCTCTCTACCTACATAAAATGGGCACCAGTCTCAGGGAAGGGAAGGACAAAAGGACCCTCTCAGAGGCCATCGAAAGCACTAGACATACCCAACAATGGATCAGAACCATATGGGAGACTCCAGGACAGAGTCTTGCTACCAGCAAATTAATAAATCAAGATTGGATAAATAAAAAATAGATTTCCTGGGGCATATATGGGGACTCTGGTTCAATGTCCTGAAATCGTAAGGTAACAAAGTAGAATGCGCTAGAAGCACAAACTTTGGCGCACCAGTACCTCACAAACTCCCTGGCGCATAATAGAAGAATGAATCACTGTACGAACGAATGAATCAATGATTAAATTCGGTAGCACAGACCTCTAGTTGTAACACATATCTGATGAGGGAGCAGAGGTCAAGCTGAGGACCAAGCAAACTGCCCCCTCCCCACTCCATTTCTCAGGTAGTCCTAGCTGCCCTAAAACTAAGGAAAGGGAAAAAACAGATGGTTAACTGACAGAGATCACAGTCCTGCCGGACATGAGTCTCCATCACTTTACCAATGTCTTAGTGATTTACAAGGAAAAAGCATTCTTATCAATAGCTTAACTTTCAGAGACCCATAACTCGTAACTCAATTTCCTGGAGCCCTAACATCACCCTCCCTTCCATGAGTGATGTGGAAAACTGAGGCAGAAGGGAAAGTAAACAAAATTGAATTTCTTTAGACCTGCAGCCCATTGACAAGGACCTGAGATAGAGTATAACATTGCTCCAGGAAGCTCCCAACTGTCTTAATGTTAATGCCTTACTAGAAGGAAAAACAAGCCTCCAGTATCCTGAAATCTTCTTTAGCATATGAAAGTCCTTTTGGACACCTCTCTTGGTCCCTTACTTCCCCCAGCTCCCAAGTATATAATCAGCCATTCCTCCAACCTCAGTGCAGCAGCTGTTTCTGCCCACGGGGCCGTCCCCGTGCTTTAATAAAATCTCCTTGTCGCACCAACATTCCATTCTTAGTTATAAAATCCCCAAATTTCATTTGAGCAAGTGACTGTGTACGATAAAGATTACATTTCCAGCTTCCATTACAGCTTGGTGGGCCCCAGCCACTTTTCTCCTGCCTGCTGTCTGGAATAAGAAAACCATGACTGACGCTCCAACTGATACTGATTGTATCATTAAGGGCCACAACCTAGAGATAAAGGGAGAGAAAGCTAAAAAGAGTCCCTGACATTTATGGAACTGCTATACCAGCCCTGGACTTGGAATATCCAAAATATTTTTAGCAAAATAATAAAGCCTTATGTATTTGATTCTTTTGTTGTTTGCAGCAAACTAGATTCTAACTAACAAATGTCACATAAGTGAATCACTTTAGCAAAATATGAAGGCATTATTGATATATCATCTTAGTAGAATACTGTGTAAAGAAGACATACTTATTCATATCCTCTAGTGCTTTTTCTCAAGTGAGGTTAATGCCTCCTATCTGTATTGTGCCTTTATTCTTTCCAGCTGAATTAGTATCACACAGTGAGTCTTCCTGATCAACATGGTTTTATGATACAATTCCCCTCACCCTTTCCAAGATGTCACAGTTTTGTACAAACAACTCAAAACCAACACTGACCCTTTGCATTTAAAAGCTTCAAGCCCCATAAAATTCTTCTTAGCCTCTAGTTATCTCTCATTTAACATTTTACAACAATTTTCCAGATGCCATTGATCCGCATTTTTTCCGAGTTGAGTTACAAAGATATCACAAATGATCTACTGTAGAACATTCTATTTTTAAAACTCAGAGGGCCACACCATTCAATAAAAAAAAGTCCTTGAAATACCCCAATCCGAAGCCTTGGGTCAAATGGCATTAGTCACACAGGCCTTGTGTTTTTTATTCCTATTCATTTCTTCTGATATGATTTCACCAATAAACCAATAAATGTATTGTCTATTCTGACTGATTTCATTGAAAAGTTCTGCTGGAGAAATTCCGAAGAGTCATCAAGTTGGCATTCCCATTTCTAGCAGCAGCTCCAGAGCCAAGATGACATACAAGTAGATGTTGAAAGAAAATATAATAATATGTATAGTGCACATAAAATGTTGTTTTAGCTTGAATTACTTAGTAAGAGTTTGTTAATCTAGGTTTATGGTCCATGTACTAATCCTATAATAGTGCTATTAAAAACACTATGCTAAGCATTCTACACCAAAATAACAATTGATAAAATGACTACATTTTTCTCCATAAATCCTAATGATATGATTATGCCCATTAATAAGAACCAGGGCTCTCTTCAAGAAACCAAGTAATTACTGTGTGGTATGATTTACACAAAGCCAGATGGAGTTATTATCCACAGTTCGTGAATCTCTATGAAACGCGCTATTTGGTCTCTATATTATCCATCACTTTCTCTAATGCAAAAAGTAGAATAAATGAGAATCCAAGAACGTTAGAGCTGGAAAGATCCTTCTGGATTTTTAGGTTCAAGGGCCTAGAATTAGAGAATCAGAAACCAGAGAGGCTCAACAATGGCTAGGGAAAAGATTGATAAGTGTCACAGAACTAGATAAAAATCCAGCCTCTAAATTTATAGTTCAATACTCTTTCCACGACAGCAATCAGTTATTACTTACAGTTATTACTTACAGATTAATGCAATGCTATTTTTATACAGTAGCTATGAGTGACTTGTTATTTTGTCAACTCAGGATATTTTATTACATATCATCCTAAAATTATAAAAATAATATTCTGACAGGTCTGGACTTGCTTGCTTAAAGGTGGGATTGTATATTTCATAGAAATAGGGCCCTACCTATTTGTTTCTGCTGCTCTGTATGGTGCAATTAAAGCTGGCATATATTTCAAAGCCTCAAGATGCCTAACAAATGAATGGTACATTTTCCATGGGCTAGAAACACAGTACCTGCCTTGTGTATTACTGAATGTGATTTAAAATAACAGAAGTGGTAAAATGTTTACCCAAATTAGAGAAATGACAATCTTCCATGTGTCTACAGAGAATGTGTGGCTAGCCCAAAGTTTCTCAACCTCAGCAACTATTCAACTACAGATACTTCATTGTCAGGGGCTATCCTGTGCAGTATAGCATGCTGCCCTCTACCCACTAAATGCTTGTAGCACCAGCCTCCCAAGTTGTGACAACCAAAAATGTCTCCAGACACTACCAAATGTCCTGCAAAATCCCCTTCCCCCATTGAGAACCACTGGTCTATCAAAACAAAGCCAGTGTTGGAATTTTGCCTTGAGAAAGAATGCTCAGCGACTCACCAATAGGGTCTGGGAAAAACCGATCAGATAACAAATTATATTCATCTTCTGAGGTTAACACCTTGCCACCAGCTGGAAGAATTCGGCTTTTAGGAGTCGCTCCTCTCTGATAGGCCTGGGGAGAAAAAGGCATAAATAGGTGATTTTTTCCCCCCATTTGGATTTTTGGAAAATGCCAAGAATATTAGAAAGAGACACAGGCACACACACTCAGAGATAACAATTCCTACACTAGGTCTCTGAGGAAGAGCCACATATTTAAAAAATATGTTTTGTGTACCTGTGACTTGCAAAGTACTTTAGTGATGGTCACAAAATGGTAAATCAGAGTCCTTAATCTCAGGAGATTCACTCTAGGTATGTTTCTCAAGTGGGGAAAACATCTTAGTAACTTCTAGAAATCCTGCACCACACTTAGCATTTCAGATGCTCGCACCTGAATCATTCTCATAACCACAAGGGTGATGATGCATATAGACACTCCCTGCACAAAAGGCTTGGGGACCGATGACGAATGACATGGGGGACATAAAATTGTAATGATGGTTGCCATGAATTTTCACCCAAAACAGAAAAGTGTTGTCATGATAAGACATGACACCACATGAGACTGTTTTGCAGTAAAATGATCTGGGAGGGAAATGCACCATCATGACAACAGAACAAATTCTAGCCAGCAGACAAAAAGCTCTGCTGTTTGGGAAATGTAAAAGAGGGGCAGAGGGGCGCCTGGGTGGCTCAGTTGGTTAAGTATCTGCCTTTGTCCCAGGTCGTCATCCCAGTGTCCTGGGATGAAGTCCAGCTTCGGCCTCCTTGCTCAGCGGGGAGCCTGCTTCTCCCTCTGTCCACCCCCTGCTTGTGCTCTCGCTCACTGTCTCTCTCAAATAATTAAATGGAATCTTAAAAAAAAGAAGAAGAAGTGCAGAGAATTGCTACCACTCCAGAGCAGTTTGTATGGCAGATCCACTCATGAGGACAGACAGATAAGGTAAAATTGAAGTATGTGCCTCTGATGGGAGGGCTTACGTCAAGGCAAAATTTTGAGAATAACAGCCTCAACGCAAATTGAGAATTGAAACCAAGAAACTGTACGACCCAAAATCTAGAGTATGCTTTTGGGGAAAACTAAAATAATGTTGACCAGGGCAACAAAATCAGAATAACAATAACATTCTCCATCAATAAGATGGCGAGTGAAGAGTCCCAAACAAAACAAATTATTTTCTTTTTAAAATTTTTTGAAGATTTTTTTATTTATTTGAGACAGAGAGCGAGTACAGAGTGGGGCAGAGCAGAGGGAGAGGGAGAAGCAGACTCCCTGCAGAGCAGAGAGCCCGAGGCAGGGCTCAAACCAGGACCCTGGGATCATGACCTGAGCCAAAGCCAGACGCTTAAGAGACTGAGCCACCCAGGAGCCCCAAAACAAATTCTTGCATATTTAAGAAGGTTGTTTTCCTTTTTTTTTAAAGATTTTTTTATTTGAGAGAAAGAGCATGAAAGAGAGATCACAACAGGGGGGAGGCGTAGAGGGAGAAGAAGACTCTCCGTGGAGCAGGGAGCCCGATGGGGGACTCATCCCAGGACCCCAGAATCATGACCTAAGCTGAAGGCAGATGCTCAACCAACCAAGCCACCCAGGCGCCCCGGTTGCTTTCCATTTGTAAGAACCCCTGCTCAACTGCTTAAGCACACGAGGGACCCAGAGCACAACAGAGAAGAATCTAAAGTTGTGACTTTGAGAAAGTCTAAGAGCAGTTCAGCTCAGACTGAATCGCGTTATTTTTTCTAACAGGCCCCAAACTGGACTTTTATAAACTTTATGTTATTTAATCCTCAAAACAGTGCTATGAGTTAGTTATTTTCTCCATTTTATAAATGAGAAAAATGAAGCTCAAAGAACTTGTCAATGGCCCAGCAGTGAGTTGGTGACAAATCTCAGATTCATACCCGGGTCTGTCCAGAAAGTGTACAGGAAGTAGGGCATGATTATTGAATGAGAACGCTTCATTTTTTCCTGCTTAATTACCTTCCAAAACCAGACTCTCAATGAAACAATAGGCAATTTATAGGTACTTAATATATGTCTTAGGTATAATAAAAAAATGCCCTTCTATAAATTAAAAAAACAGGATATTATTAAAACTTTGAGGAATTATGACAAACTGCATGGGCACTTTTAAAAAATTTCCAAGTTTTGGGGCGCTTGGGTGGCTCAGTCGTTAAGCGTCTGCCTTCAGCTCAGGTCATGATCCTAGGGTCCTGGGATCGAGCCCCACATCGGGCTCCCTGCTCCACAGGAAGCCTGCTTCTCCCTCTCCCCGTCCCCCTGCTTGTGTTCCCTCTCTGGCTGTGTCTCTCTGTCAAATAAATAAATAAAATCTTTAAAAAAAAAAATTTCCAAGTTTTTAACAAACTGAAGTGCTCCTGAGGTGCTCTGCAGGCACCCCTGTAAAATTTCCAAGTTTTTAAAAAAATATGTAGTTATTACCGAATTCAGTGACCATATCTTAACAACCTGAACAAGTTTATTTTTTTTAAAGATTTTATTTATTTATTTGAGAGAGGGAATGAGATAGAGAGAGCATGAGAGGGGGGAGGGTCAGAGGGAGAAGCAGACTCCCTGCTGAGCAGGGAGCCCGATGCGGGACTCGATCCCGGAACTCCAGGATCATGACCTGAGCCGAAGGCAGTCGCCCAACCAACTGAGCCACCCAGGCACCCAACCTGAACAAGTTTATTTAAAAATGATGAGCAAAGCAAAGAAAGCAATATAGTTCATAAATTGCAAGTGAAGGAGCAAGCTTGAAAAAATGAAAAGAAGGAAAAAACACCAAAATCTGATTCAAAATTAAAAGTTCAGTTAGTGCCAAATGTGGTGAAAACCCTAATAAATCCAAGAGCAAACTCTATGAGTGTTTCCTCTCCAATAGTTAGTAGTAATCGTACTGTAACGGCTGTACCAGTGGTTGGCCATATGCTAAGTGCTTTAATATGTTCATTTATTTAACCCTTACAACAACATGGTGACGAAGGGATGGATCATGCTCACCAATTTACAGATGAGAAAACAGCGGCTCAAGGAGATTTATAACTTATGCAAGGGCACATATCTAGTAACTGGCAAAGGTGTGATTCAAAGCACCTTATATTAACCATTATGCTCTACTGCCTCTTCTCAAGCTTCCCTGACAGAACATTGTAATGTGCCATACAAAATATGAGGTGATTTATTTTAGGATTTTATTTATTTATTTGAGAGAGAGAGAGAGCACAAGTGGGAGAAGGAGCAGAGAGAGAGGGAACCAAACGTGTGACTCAATCCCAGGACCCCAGGATCGTGATCTGAGCAGAAGTCAGACGCTTAACCGACTGAGCCACCCAGGTACCCCGAGGTGATTTATTATCATTATCATTATTGTATGTAGTGCATTGATAATTTGCTTCCGAGAGCAAATCAAGTGTTGAATAAAGTCCTGATATAGATAAGCAGAGAAGATACTAGCTTAATGAATGTTGAAAAGAATAAGACTACCCAGGAGAGCACTTGAACTTTGCCTGGTTGCCTGTGGAATAAGGTCAAACTGTATTTTATTTCTATTTGCCGTCAGAAATGGAAAGGAAGCACATTGACTTGTCAATCTGAAGCCTCTTCCTAATGCTTTAGCATCCGAGGTATTACTCCAAGTATCCATGGAGGTTGTCCTGACTGTTCCTAAACTTGGAGTCAAGAAAGCAGAGTTTTAAACCTGGTACCACCTTTAACTGATAAACATTCACTCCAAAAGGAGCTTGAGGATCTATGTACTCTAAAAATGTGTACAGTGCAAGATCTGGAAGGAACCGGTGGGATCATTCAGCCTGACTCTCTGGTGTAACTGAGGCCCAACCTAAACTTTCGTTTTCCCAATTCACTGCCCAGTGTTTTTTCCTCTAGACCAAATGACCTCCCCACATGGGGAGAGAAATGGGAACCAACAAAAACGGAAGTCCTCTCAGGTGCTAGGCACTTTATACATGACCTCATTTTCTCCAGATTTGCAGACATACTGTATTAGATAGCCATCTAATGATTTTACAGAAAAATCATATGATAACCAGGAAAAAGTTAAATGAAAAAAATCTGTAAGTAGAATAAAGTCTTGAAATGTTTGAATTTTTAGGAACCCATGCAAATGCATAGTCTTATTAAGTAACTTCTCAGCCGCTTGTCACATAGGAGGCTTACCAGTAGGAAGACATGGAGACATTGAGCCAAGAGGGAGAGATATGAGGGCAGTGACTGAAAAAGACCTTGAAGCTGAATGATCCTAGGAAGGGCTCCTGCACTAGTCACTTGGTGTAACCTATTTTCACACTCCCTTGCAATTACTCGTTCCAAATCTATCTTGCCCACTGGGCTGCAAGCATCTGTTTCATCTTCTGTTAGAGGCTCAGAACCTTCTCTAACACTTGGCATATCATAGGCATTCAGTAAACATGTTAACTGAAGTGAGTAGCTGCATGAGTGAGTGCTTATTGAAGGAATCAGTCTCAAAGGAGAGGGCATATCAGTCAACCCAGCCAATGTTGAAGAATGTTGCAAGAACCACTACAAACAAGGAAACATCGTACCTCTTTGTTCTCATAGCTCTCCACAGCAAAATCATTTTTGACCACAATGTACCGCTCCTTCCATTTCTTTATGTCGTCAGCAAACTGTGATAGCTCTGCTTCATACAGTACAATTCCAGGCTCCAATGGTGGCTTTAAAGAAGGGGAATATCATTAATCAGGACAACAAAAGATAACATAGCATGCTATCACTAAGTCTATCCGCGGGAGTTCAAGGAATGTTTTCAGAAACTATCTTGTGCTGAGATTCTGGGGAAATTGTGGCTTCCCCCACCTCCCTCCATACTTTCCCTTCCTGCTCCCTCTGACCAAATGCAAATATTTGTCTTATTGATATGTTTGTGACTTTCATTTCCCTCCATTATACTACAAAAAGAGAAGCGGATGGTAGAAGGGATTGTAGTAATAAGGTTGTGCCTTGTATACATGTCACTTAAGGATCGTTGATAAACTCTGGAAGAGGTAGGTAAGTGTAAGTTGTGGCTGTATACCCCAACACCGTGAATATCCCTGAAAACAGGAGAATTAATAGGCTGCTCCTGTATCCACCATACCTCCAGGTACAGGCTCGAGGGTCAATATTCAATGGTCTTCCCAGATCTAAAAGCCCTGGGGACCCAGACTGTAAACCCTTGCCCCATGTGCATGCTCCTCAAAGAGACTGTGTTCACCCTCTGGTTGAAGAACAAGCAGGCTAGCCAGCAAACTGCAGTTCTACCTTTCTACTTAAGTAAAAGTTTGAGGCTTTCTTATTAACCCTGATGACATATGTGCTATAGGAAAATCTCTGCTAGATTCTTAGGTCTCCCTTTGGGCTGTGTAAGGAATAACTCCCATCCTGTCTCATGGCAAAATCCCTGTATTATCTCAAAATACAGGAATGGGCCTCCTGTCTTTCATGTGTCACTGAATTTTTATCTCTTTTCCCTTTATTAAAAAAAAATCAAAGTGCTTTTAGAAACGTATCCCTCCACCTTCAAGCAAAATTTACATGAAGCATAGGGAGAAGACAGATACAGTAATCTTTTTACGACTTGGCTAAGGGATGAACTAAATTGCCTTCTGAATTTATTCTATCCTGACAGATAAAAGAGGCCGTTTCCTATCTTGCTTCATTAACAGGTAAGAGAGGATCTCACTCTTCTCTTTAAAGGAGACTGAACCCATATATAGGCTGAACTTTATAGTTCTATGTGCAGCATTTTTTTTAACCTGGGCCACTCAAATCAACTGATACGCTTGTTAAAAATGTGGCCTTACCCTAGACTTACTATATCAGAATCTCTGGAGGTGTGGGCCAAACTTTGCATTTTTAACAAGCTCCCTACATTGTGAGAATCACTCTTCTATGGGAATGACACTCAGTTATCCCTACACACCCATGCTGCTAAATCTACTGGTCAACTTAAATTCTAAGCAGTATCTGACCCATTTATCACTCCCTCCTTCTTGTAAGCCCTTCTTTATTTGCCTTCTGGCACATTCCTCTTTCCTGATTTTCTCCTCCTGCAAGGCTATTTCTTATCAATCCATCTCGCTGGATCCTTCTTTTCCTGGTCTCCAAATGTCAACTAATTACCTATTCACTATTTCCACAGGTGTATGTCAAATAAGCATCTCAAACTTACATGGCCAAAAGGGAACACGTGATTCCCACCCACCTCGGACCCTTCCTTCTGAGTAAAAGACAACTCCATGTACTTATTTGCGCAGGCTAAAAACCCAGTAGTCATCCCTGACTTTCACTCTCCTATAACGTCCTATCCAACGCATCAGCAAGTTCCAGCAGCTCTATCTCAAGTCCGTTTTGACTTGGACCTTTCCTCACAACTGCTACCATCACCACCCTCATCCAACTTGCCTTCACCCTTCTTCTCTTGCACTGCTACTGTGTCCTCCTCACCCGTCTCCAGGTTCCCCTCTTATCCCTCATCATGGTCTCTTCACTATAGAGAGGCCAGAGAGATTGCTGAAAATTCCAAGTTACTCTGTATTTGATATCCTCCAATAACTTCTCTTCATATTTACAAATAAAGACCCTTATCACGGTCTACAGCTCCTCCATGGTCTGGTCCTTCCCTTTCACTCTGTAGTCATTTATCATCCTTTCTCCCTTGCTCTCACTGCTCTTAGCACATAGCCTTCTTGATGTGCTTATGACTGCTGTAGGGCCTTTGCACTTACTGTTCCAAATCCCGCAGATATTCGCACAGCCTACTCTTATTTCACTCCAGTTCCCGCTCAGATTTCATCTTCACAGAGGGCTTCTCTGATCATTTTCTCTAAAATAAGGCTCCTGCTTTATTTTTCTTTGAGCATTTATTATGACCTGATATCACCTGATATTTGTTTCTTTATTAATGTTTACGGTCTCCTACTTTTAAATATATACAGGAAAGCAGAGAATTTGTCTTGATCCCCAATTCTTGGAATAGGGCCTGACACATAGTAGGTGTCAATGAATGAATATGTGTTGAGGTTGTGGGTAATTATTATCATGGAGCAAAGGAAAAAGAATAAGGGGATTTGAAGAAAAAAATCATATTTAATCAATGACCAAAACAAAAATGCCCATAATATGAGGCACTAAAATTTTGACTTTTTAAAAACTGAACTTCACTACAGCAAGTCAGATTTCCTGATATTAAAGCATCATGTGGGAAAAACAATAAAATTGGATCATACTAGTTTTCTTTCTATATGGATTACACCATCAACAAGAAACCATACACTCTAACTTCTAGGAAGATAGAGTTTTTTGACCATGAAATGATTTGAGAACAGATTTTTTTAAACTGCCATTTAAATTACTGTTTATTTCAGAAATATGATGAGTTATAAAGCATTCTTCAGTGGGAGAAATTGTCAACCAAATGTCCATAGTTTACCTTGGTCTTCAAAAATTGTGATGTTAAATCTCTTTGCTGTTCTACTTCACTGCGTACATGATTGCAGAAAGCCACAGAGTACTGGCGACTATAGTAGGGACTGAAGTTTTTGATAGTAGCCTCAGTTTTCCCTAGAAAAATATGAAAATTAGAAATACAGCATCTCTTACAGAATAGACACATATCTACCCCTCTAAGACCACTGTTTCCCAGGGATTTGTGATGAGTTCACATTCCCTGAGAACTTTGTAACATGCCATACGTGCCTTTATCTCTCCCTCTCCCTGACATCATCCTGAGAGACTCTACTATCCCTAAGGACCATCCATCCAGTAACCGATAGAAATTTTCACATTACCAAGGCCATAAACTCAGCCATCCCTCTAAATCTTTCTACAACTACCATTCTACCTTACCCGATTCTCCACTTCAACTTGCTCTTCATCCCCCTCTACCTCCAGTCACCCAACTCTTAAACACAATAATCCCAGGGTCCACCATTTCAACTCCACACACACAATATTCTGTTTTTCTTCAGACCCCTGAGACTCCACCTCATCTTGCTGACCCACAGCCCTGGATAAAATCAACAAACTGTTTCTTCTAGTTCTGCCCCCCGTGCTTCTGGGTAAATTTTTTGTGTGACTCAAAGCCTTATACAATTACTATGAGGTAGAGGGAAAAGCTTTGGTTTAGGAGTCTAGAGACCTGAGCTGTGGTCCCAATTCCAGGGAGACAGAAACCAGCTGGATGACCTCAGTTGAGTCCTTCATTCTCTCCAGGCTCCAGTGTCCCTAACTGTAAAGGAAGGTGCTCACTAGTCCATACTTTTCTTGGAAACTATATGACACTGAAGTATAAACATGAGTATAGCTGTCTTCCAATAGTGACCAGCAACTGCATTATGATCTCTCAGCACCAAAAGACAATAAAGCTTAGGATCAATCACAGTGGGGAAGAGGGCAGTTGGAGGACTCAAGATGGAAGAAGAGGGAGAGTCGGACACTAGGAATATTCTTGAGCTTTTCCAACCTGTGCTTAGCTTTAGAGAGTAGGGAAGTTGCAAAGGAGGGAAAGGAGAAAAAGAAATTGGGGAGGAAGGGCAAAGGAATATTCTGAGACAGATTAGAAATCCTCACAACCTGTCAAGGACTTGCTACAAAGTAGAGAAATAAACACAGGTCCCATTGACTGTGCTTACACACTGTTAGTCCTTGGAATAAGATATTATCTTGAGAAAAAATAAACCTGATATGACATTCCAAAATATTTTTAAATACTTTCATGTGAACTTGGCATAATTTTTGTTTTCAAATTTGATATAGTCACAGAGAAATATTAAAATATAACATACCGGCAAGATCTGTTTGGAGCTATTGTGCATGTAAAATTTCAAAAATAAGTGAAGAGTTCTAACCCCATAGATTGAGATATTCAATATGAGAACCTTGAATTCATAGCCGCCAAAGACCCATAGTGTATGAGTAATCCCTTTATATGAAGAATCCTCCTTTATCTCAGGCATTTCAATCTCATACTATTTTTGAGGTAAAAGGGAATTCTTGCTTATTCCCCTCAATAAAATGACATTTTTGGGTCATATTTATGGGCTTTAATAACTATTACTTGAAAGGTGCTTTGAGACCCATTAATAATAGGTTCTGTACAAATGCAAATAAAAGCTCCTATAATTTGAATCAGGCATGCTTTTGCTTGCTCTGTGAGTCCATGGTATGACTATTAATCAGTATTTGCATAATACTTTAATTTACTCAGGCTTTATAATTATCTAATTGGTTAATATTTTTATTAGCTTTTACATAGTGCATAAGAAATAAAATTCTAGATCCTTGTCTATAATTTTCTTACAAAGGAGTAGGATATCTTTAAGAATTCCCACAATAAGAATGAGTCTCACATCACCAAAACATATAAACAATTAACAAAATTTGCCCTTTGGGACCAAGTGACCACTATTTTGTCTAACAGAAGAGCAGCCTGCTAATTTATGATACTAATTTTTGCACTCCTGCAAGCATTTGGATTTAAATGAAAGAAGGTGGATGCCATTTTATGATGAGCTCTACAAAGCTTTGAAACTTGATTTCCTGCCACATCACAAAGCCTCACCCAAGGATGCCCTGTTTCTACAGAGGTGTTACGATGCCACCACTCCCTCCCAGTGTATGAGAAAAATGCTTCTGTGATTTGAGTAGCAACACATCTTCCACCAGGCAGCATTTATAAGAAAGGGATTACAGCTTCCTTTGGTAATTAACCTAATGACTGGTTCAAAATGTGAATGAAACAGCTAAAAATATCATAAGTTCTAGGGGGAAAAGAACCTAAAGCGATTCTCAAAAGGTATCTAGATTTTAGATTAAGCCTATCTAAACCCAAATATAGGAACACCGAAGTCCAGATCTTGACATTTAGAGAAAAGCCTAGTGTTGGGGCAAAATACACTTTGGTTAGGAAGATGGACTCTGGAGTCAGAAAGACTTGGGTTTGAATGCCATCTCTGCTACTTACCAGCAGTGGAACCTTATGCAGGTTAATTCCCCTCATATAAAATGAAGACAAGAGGAGCATTCTCATAGTGTTATTGTAGTTATTCATGAAATAATGCAGTAAACTGCTCAGCATGGTAGCTGGCACATAGAAAGTGCTCAATAATCAATAGTAATTAAATCAGTGATGATAATGGTGATGAGCACCCAAGCCAACTGCCAGGGGAAGGTCCTGAAGCTGAATTAAGGAATCAGGGAGAAGATAAAAGCAGGCTGTCTTGTGTAACTCTTCAACTGGGGTCATCCAGCCCAGCTGCATACCGAACGGCCATCCCACTCATTGCAGGTTCGAAACAAACATAACCTACATTTTCACAGATGTTTCAGGAACACTTATCAGCACATACGGGACCCTCAGTACATCCCTAAATGAAAACCATCTAAATAAAACATTGGTATTAATGAACCAGAGTGAAAAGCATGAGTTAGTTACTGTGTTACATTGAGCCTCTCTCTCTCTCAGCCTCAATTTTCTCACGTAAAATGGGTAAATTGCCCATTTTCACCGGTTTTGTGAAGATTAAGTGAGATATTCTGTAGGTAAAAAAGTGCCTAGAGTAGTGCCTGACACTAGTTGCTCAATAAATTTTGACTATTATTACTAGTATTTAATATTCCACTATGAAAATATTCCAATAAGTGGATCAGCCCCCAGACACCACATAAAATAACCTTAGCCAAAAGCAGCTTGTTTTCCAGTTTTCAATATTCTTGAGGATTGAACTGCCTTCATCCTCCCCCTGCCCCCTCAACCCCTGCTGCGATTTAGTATCACATTCCTTTTCCTAAATTGTAAAACAGAGCACTTTTTTTCACTAAAAAGAGGCTAATCAATAATAGAAAGACTAGAACCAATGGAGGCTTCTTCCACATTTTCCGCATAGGTATATTTCTTCCAATCCTACTCAATAATTGCAGCCTGTGCAGGGCATTGTGTTAGTACAACTAACTCAACCAAGCTGCTCATAACACGCTTCGGGCTAATCAGTACCAAAACTGAAAGAACACTCTTCAACAACTCTGTCTATAACACTTAGGTTCAGTTTGATTTTGTAAAAGTCAGAAAAGCATCTTCTGGCCCCCTTAAAGCCGTTTGAATTCGTACAGCCTGAAAAACTCAGCACTGTCCTTTGATTCCTTCTCCTTTGTGCTCATATTCAATCATCAGCAATCATCAGATCTTGTCCCTTCTCTTCCTACAATATTTCTTGACCCACCCCCTTGGCCCCATCCCAACCAGCACACCTTCAACACTGTAAAAGTCTCTTAATCTGCCCTCAGTATCACAGAGGGGACATAAACAAACAAACAACAACAAAAGTACTAGCTCTCAGCTCTAAAAGAGGAACAAGAAAAGTCAAAACCAGAGCAGAGATGGGGAATGCCAGTGCTGATACACAGATCCTGGGGCGGGGGGTGGGGGTGGGGCATGGGAAATAAGCCAAAGCTTGGTCAGTATGGCAGAGGCAGGTCCTGGGGATTAGCCAGAGTGAGTCCAGGGCTGATGGAGCAGAACATGAGAGTCTGAGCCCAAGCTGGCCACCACGGCCCCACTCACCAGAAAGGAGCACAGGTTACCAAGGCCCAGATGTTAGAGTGGGGAATCGTCCTTGAGAACCAGGTCTTACCCTTAATGCTCCCAGGGAACTCTTGAAAACCTCATGGTCATGGAGCTACAGTCCTCTGGGTCCTGGCCTGACAGGTTTCATTTGACAGGTTGCTACAAGATCATGTCACTACCTTCATAAAAACCTTCAACAGTTTCCCCATTGCCCAGAGTAGTGACCACTTAGCCCAGTGCCAAAGGCCCTGTGATCTGGCCCCAATTGTCCTGATTTCCTACCTCTCCTTCTCCTACCTTGCCCCCTGTACATGCTCATGCCTTCACCCCTCCTTTCTCCCCCTAAATGCCCTGCCAGCCACTTTCAGATCCTTCAAGCCCAAATGGCGCTTCCATCCGAAAAAGAAGTTGGTTCTCCCCAACAATCTCACCTTCTTTTGTGTTCTTCCAAAACTGTGCTCCACTTTGCTACAGCTGTTTAAATATACTTTATCTCTTCTCCAAGGATATACTGTATTTATGTACTCGGCAGATATTTGTTGAATGAATGAAAGAATGGCTGAGTAAATGTTTAAGAGTAAAGCCAAGTACAATGCATCATAATCTTGAAACCCATGCCAATGTCCCCAGAAAGGAGAAATGCACAGTTCTCACTCGAATATTTTTTTGAGTTTTTTTTTAATTTTTTTTTAGAAAGAGAGAGAGAGTGTGAGCGAGTGGCAGAGAGGGGCAGAAGGAGAGAATTTTCAAGAGGACTCTCCGTGAGCGCAGAGCCCGATTATACTCGCCTTGATCTTACAATCCCACAACCCATGAGATCATGACCTGAGCCAAAAACCAAGAGTCAGATGCTTAACTGACTGAGCCACCCAGGCGCCCCTCAAGTATTTATTATTAAAAATATACACTCAAGGGCGCCTGGGTGGCTCAGTTGGTTAAGCGACTGCCTTCGGCTCGGGTCATGATCCTGGAGTCCCGGGATCGAGTCCCACATCGGGCT